GTTACATGAATACTGTTGAACTCGGATGCTGAATTTATTTTTGTGCGTCTCTGAGTGAAGAGGTTTAATAAACTGAGATTAGTTGAGCTGGTAGTCCAGTAGAGATAACTCCAGACTAACCTTCTCTTCTATGGGGAAGCTTGAAGAAGAGCTTTGATGAAGCAACATGTCTGTTAATTACAGCTTGTTGTAGGCTGCTTTTATTGTGAAACTCTTGACACTGAAACAGGAAGCTGTTTCTGTTTGAATCTAAGGATCTTTGTCTCTTTCCGTTGTGAGTCTGGTTGAACCGTCGTACAGCGTTTTGTTCTCCATGTACTAAACTAAATAACATCTGTCAGTAAAGAGAACGTTCTACGTCTGGTCTTGGTATCTCCTAAACTAAAGCCTTCTGAGGGGATTAGCTCCTCTACCGTGAAACATATTCAGAATATAGGACAAAGTTCACCCAACGTCTGGATCTGTTTTTGCAGTTTTATTTGCAACTCATGTGCTGACGCCTCAGATGCATCTTGGGAGCCCATGTGGAGCCTCCAGGTCGGGGGCCACTGGTGTAAAGAGTTCACGCATCACGAGCACAAATCCTCTTTAACACTTTATAGGAAGCAACAGCAGAATCTAAAATTAACCGGATCTTAATTATATTCTTATACCTCAGCTGAGAGTTTTTCACACATCAAACTGTCTCATTTGTATTTTCAGGTTGCGTCTCTGTTGTTATCTTCGTCTGAGTTCACGCTCCACTGATTAACACTCTACCTGGATACAACACATGTGAAGGTGGATGAGGACACATGCTGGAAGAAGAGTAGTTCACTCAAAGACTCCAAAAACCAGATCCTAACCCAGATACTCCAAAACACTGATCCTATCAGGATTATTCCAAAAAAACAATCCTATTAGGAATAAACCTCAAAAACCTAACTGGGTGCTGATACTCCAAAAACGTGCCCTTTCCAGGATACCTCTAAGGTCTGATCCTGAGAAGGGTTCTCTGAAAACCCGATCCTAAACCGGACACACCAGATCATTCACTTAATAACACATGGACGAGGTAGAACGGTGACGTACTCCGGCTGCTGCACCGTGTACCTGAATGTGTACAACACAGACAACTCCCCTGCAGCTCCGAGCCTTCAGCTCGAGTTCACACGATTTTTCCATTGAGCTGTATTCAAACCGGTGACTTCCAGATGATCTCATTCTACACACAACTGTAATCTCATGAGCTCCACCGATGTTTCAATTCAAATAAAGCCTTGAAGTGTTTTTAACGCATTTAGATGTGATTAAAGATATTCAGTGAGATGAACCGGCTGCGTTTTATTGTGAAAGGCTCTCGAACGCCTCCAGGGTCAAAAAATAAAACCCCCGCTCAGCCTCACGGACCCGACATTCAACAGACAACTTCATACTTCAGAAAATGAAGGAGAAGAACTTAACATCACTTAGACAAACGAGTGGTAAATGAAGCAAATATTTATGAAGCGAGTAATTTGAGTCGTTTTATGTCACCATTAAAAAGTGTAAACTCATGGATGACTTCTCAGGAAGAAGACGACAACATAAGAAATAGTAATCCCACATTATTCATTATATTTCAACATTAATTATTTGTAGTTATTCTCAGAGAGATAGCAGTAGTCGTGTGTAGAACGTGTGTGTGTGTGTGTGTGTGTGTGTGTGTGTGTGTGTGTGTGTTGTTGCGTCGCTGTCCGTGGTGCTGAAACACAGCGGAGGAGATTGATGGACAGACGGTCTCAACAAAGCCGGGTCTTTTATTTTACATGTCGACATAAGCTACAGTTTATTTATTAATTAATTTGTTTAAAGACCCACGTATGGGCGGTTCTTATATGTGGGTATCGCTGTAATTTATTCGTATTTTGGGATGTATAATTGTAACATTTTAGAATAATAAAAAGTGATTAATTCAACTTTAAAAAAGCTGAGAGCATCTGAAGACGACGTTTTGACGAACAGAAACAACTGGAAACATGGACTGAGAGGGTTTAAAGTCCAGGGATGTTTAAGTCAAGATTAATTTATTCCAGTAAACAAGATGTAACACAACAAGTAAAGAGAAACAACAGCACGGAGAGTTCCCAGAGGGCAATGCAAACCCACTTATCCTTTCACGTCTTCAGAGTGCTGTGAGTAACGTCAAACTGTGGCTGCGTGGGATTAGCTCCGCAGCAGGAGGTCAGGAACTGTGCTTTTCCATTCCTGTAATTCCGCGACTTCTCCTGCTGGAGCGTTTATGTCACTGTGTGATTATCACAGGGTGGACGTCCTTGGACTGTAAGGAAACTGTGAAGAGGATAAATGAGCTGGCGGTTTCCTGCCAGCTCATTCACCGATTACCCATATTTGAAAAATGAAAAAATGAAAAAGGGACAAAGGGACAAAGGACAAAGACCTCGGGGTGCTGAGACACCAAGAATAACACGAGAACAAAGACAGGAAAGGGCTTCATGGCTGTGATTTAAAGACCTACTTGAGGAGGCACAGCTTTTACACTGAAGGGAACTTTATAAAGACGGAGATTTGATGAATAATACATGTAAGATCTAACCAACAGTATTTCTTACTGAGGATTATATGTTCGATATGTCGTCGTGTCAACGCCATCAACGCAAAATAACTACAAAACATTTGCAAATGTGAGTCGGATAAGATAAGAAGCTACAAGATCGCATTTTGAGCAGCACGTTCTCCGTTTGGTTTTCAGATGGAAGGATAAATCAGGATATATATACATATATATATATACACACACACACACACACACACACACACATACATACATACACACACAGTATACATACACACATATACATGTATGTATGTATGTTTGTTTGTTTCCGACCTCTTTGATGGTTCCTGAGCGTCGAGGTCGGGAACCGCTGCACCAAACCACCACAGGTGCTAAATCACAACACTATAAAATGTGAAGTAAGACTGTAGATCCCACGAAGGAGGAGACACGTTCTGCCGAGTGTTAATGAGACTGATGATAATAAGCTGAGAAGCAAAGAGGAACAAAGCAGCAGTTTTACTTTCCACAGAACGAGGACGAGACACGGAGCGAGATGGAAACGAGCGAACTGAGATCACTGATATCAGCGTTTCTTTTATTGTGTGGGGTTTGATCTGAGGTGAGCCTGAGGCAAAAACGAGCTGCGGAGAGTTTTGCATTACAGAGGGTGAAAGAAATGTTAAAGACTAGAGAAGTGCAGTTAGTAGAGAGCAGATCAGCCTCGTTTTACTCTCTAAACTAAGAAGAGGTGAATCTCACTCAGATGTCCCTCCCGGGCTCCCTTACAGTCAAGATTAAGGCAAAGATCTTAAAAAGCAGGGATTTAATCATTTTGTATTGTGCCTAACTGTAGTGCAACAAAACATATCGGGTGTGGAGTTAATCTGCAGACGCTCTGGTTCAAACTGAGACCACGACAAAAACAAAACATGGCCTGCAACAGACAATGCAAGGCTTGTTTTTAGCCTGAACAGAAATGACATTTGACGGTATAAAGCAGTCAATAAGTAAAACATGTACAAATCGCTGCAAAAATAAGAGGTTCTTGAGCGACCAGTCACATGTGAACATAAAAAGATATTAGGTTGATGGGTCGAGCAGTACGCGAGATTAGGTGTGGACAGACGGACAGAAGTGTGCACACACACACACACGCACACACACACACACACACACACACACACACACACACACACACACACAC